GGACGTAGCAAAACGCGTGACCAGAATACATATTAAAAAATATTAAAATTCTGACAGCGGCACGAGAAAACAATAAGAGCATGCGCTGCGTACACTCCATGTTCGCACCACGTGCACACCGCGTTCAGGACACAAATTAGACCTTTACAGCTCGTGTGTGCAGTAAACTAAGGGCGGTCACAATTGAGAAATTCTAATTCCCTATTGGGTCAGATGCACTGACGCGACACTAATGCAGTGATCTGGTCCACAGGCAAGTATATGCGCTGCTTCCATGATCTCTCTCTTCAATTTGCCCCTCATGCGTCCCACCACCTTTGTGTTCAACGCAGGAGAACACCCACAATCCCTGCAGCGTATAGGTAGATGGTAACCGTGACCACTGCCAAGCGATTATTTTCTCGTGCCGCTGTCAGAATTTTAATATTTTTTAATATTTATTCTGGTCACGCGTTTTGCTACATCCTTTTAGTGCCTGCCGCTCTTCTCCGTGCCTGCCGCCGATCGCTGTGAGCAGACGACGCTTCACTTTAGAGTTTGAAGTTCTTTTAAGGCACTTTCAACAATCTCAAATTCCTTGAAATGGTGTGAGGTTGAAGAGAGCGCGCAGTGGACTTTTCTGAGCGACAGGAGAGGCCATGTCGCAGCAGTTTCTGCGTGAAAGGCTGCCCTGGCGGAGTCACAACCGAAACTATGGTACACAGACAATAAACCCAATTGTCCTGACCGTTTCACGATTTCCTTTTCGAAGTCTGAGGTCGCTGGGCGCCTAAGAATAAGAACTTCGTCCGATTCCCTGACTAACCGATCATCCTCAGTGCTACTTGTGCCGAGCGCCGCCAGCACCGCCATGTTTTCCACGGGGGGAATAAAAAACCAGGAGGCAACATTATCTCGAACTCCGATTTTCGGTATTTCAAAAACGAGGGCCGTAGTGCTTTCGGAATTTGCTTTAAGAAACATGTTTTACAAATGCTGTTATTAAATAATATAGAAATGTCGCTCACAAAGCTTCTAAATTTGTCATTTTTGACATCACAAATTAGAAAAGGTGAGGAGGTTAGAAGAGGGAGAAAAAGGCGCCAAAGATAAACAGGTGCTTCCGAGAAACCAAAAATTCTAACTAACAGTAAACTAAAACAGTAAACTTTCGTCAGTTCGACCTCGGTTAATTTGACTTTCCATTTAATTCGATCGTGTTTAAAAGTCCCGGCGAGCGCCGATACACTTCTATGGGAGGAAAAGTTTGATAGTTTGAACTCGGGAAGACTCCGCATCGGATAATTCGTCTCGAGCAAATGCGCGCGGGCTCATGTTGTACAGCACCACTGCAGAAAAACAACCAACGTACAGCAAAACACGGGACTCTTTGCTGCAAATGCCGAACGTGTGCAAATATGCGCCTGCTCCCCTACGCCGTTGAGATGGACCGTAGCGAATAACACGAGCCAATGCAACCAATCTGGCGTGGAGTAGCGCGTAGAACTTGGCTAGCACGTGCGGGCGTGGAGGTAGAGCACGCTCTCAAAGCACTTTTCTGTAGAACCCACACCAGAGAACACAGGATCTCTTTTCTTTATTTTTTTGTTACCAACGGTTTGGTTGTTTGTCGCCAAAGTCGGCTTGTTAAGCTTTCTCAGCGCACGCTTTCAAAGCGCTTTTCTGTAGCATTGTGTGCAGTCCTTGCGCACTGAAAAGCGCCAAATCTTTTTACCTTTTTCTTTATTTTTTTTTATTTTTTTATTTTTTTTTTTGTTGACAGACTGGCTGCTTAATGCCAAAATCAATTCTTATGCTTTTTATTTTCGCTTTTTTTTTTAGCATGCTTTTTTCTGCAGCATGCTTTTGGACACGCATTTTAAGTGCCGACAACAGCATACCATCCGTGAGTACTTTGGACAATAAAAGGAAGTTTAATTTTAAATGTTTTTCTGTCCTTTTTTTAATTCAATCATTCGAATAATTCAACCAAATTTCAAGTTTCAAAGTTCAAATTAACAAAAGTTTACTGTATTAAGGTCTGTTATAATGAGTTCATACTGAATAACTGGCTTCCAACTGATATTCATCGCAGCTTGCATCTTCCCATCCCCCCTTCCCAGCTGATGACGATCAAGGACCAGACGAAGACAGGACCTCAATGCGGCCAATGGGCATCCGCATGTTCCGCTGCTATGTGCGTGGCTACGGGACCCACAACGAGAACGCCGTGAAGACCGTGCTGCACCACCGCAAAGACCACGTGAGGATGAAGCTCCTGCAGTGCCGGGTGTGCGATTCGGGAGCAAGGGACAGATGGACTCCCTGCGGACCCACACGGGGGGACGGCCGTTCGCCTGTGGAGTGCGCGGCATTTCGTTCAGCAAGAGGACTATGCTGCTCTACCACGCCAAGGGGCACACCGGGGAGATGTCGTTTGCGTGCCACCTGTTAACGTTCGTCTGTGAGTGCTCGTCACAGAAGCTCCTCGAGACCCACGAGCTCAAGTAGCGGCGGCGGGACACAATTGTTTTCTTTTTAAATGCGTAGGGTTTAGTGTCACAATTTTTCGTCCATGGCATGTGACCTCGATGATGCCAAAGTGTCATTGTGACATCATCCCATAGCTGCTCTAAATGCATAGTAATATTTTTAGTCTAGGACTATACGACACCTTGAGCTCACATGACAGTTCGAAGTCATGGTGTTTACGCGAGTCGACCTGGCGTCGCAAAAGGCCCTTCTCGGCAAAGGCCTTACTTTAGAATGCCTTTGGGAAATGCCGAAAAAACAGCCGATTTTTTTGCTTTTCTTATTTGTACCATTTGCTTTTTTTGGAGCATGCACCGGATTCAGTACAAAAGAACCGTGTCGCATGTCATGCAGTTGCCACGATAAATCAGTCTTCTGTGTGAGGTGGTAAGCTCTTCTGAACTGTTGCCTTTCTAGTGAGGCTGAACTGGAATGCACCCTTTTTTTGTGGTGATATTGTTTTCTTATGTGGACCTGGTTCTACATTGTCCAGTTGACTTAGGGTGGGAATATGATGTAATTAGCTGCACTTCTTGCAAGTTGCCAATACTCAGAAGAAAGAGGTTAGAAAGTAGTCCCGTTTGAGTCACCCTTTTTTCGTGTCTTATAGGGCTGCACGTAACAATAGATCAAGTATGTACGCCGCAGACACACCATTTGTATTTTGTTTTGGTTCTCATCTGAGCACACAATTTCTGTTAAAACAGTTGCCCAGGGGGCAATAAAACAGTAACATTGCACTTTCCTTTTTTCTTTTTTTTTTTCTGAGCAGTGCTGTTTGTACGGTGAAAAGTGCGAAGCAGTGTTTTTCACAAAACATCTTTGCACGAAAATGATTTGAGGAGTCTAGTTGTTTATTATTGTCATGTTGCTTTCTGGGGTTTTGAGGTAGTCTGTGTTGATGAGAGAGATCAAGGATAGCTGACCCAGTGTCATAATCATTACTATTTTTTTTTTTTTTTTTCCTTGGGAATTCAAAAACAGGTGTTTATAGAAGCCATTTGAGAATGAGTTGCTTTGCTGGATGGCTATCATGTAGCTTGAGCAGTAATTTTGCAAAATATTTTATATCTTTATTTATTTGTTTATTTTGCATGCACACATGTGCCAGATCATTGTAAAAAATGTTCTAAAGTATACAAACACTAAAGATAGATACAGTTCTATGCTAACAATAGAAATTACACATGCGGCTCGGAGCGTAATGTGAAAGCCTGTGCAGAATCATCGCCAAAATATGTGAACAAGGGTTGCCACAAAAGAAAATAATCAGATGTAGATACAGTTTTTATGGGTGGTGATTCTAGTTATTTGATGTACAGTAAAACCTCATTATAACAAAATGGGATATAACAAACTAATGGATATAACAAAGCAATCATAATTCCCCTTGCTTGCTAGTAGAGGGAAGAAATGGACATCTAACAAATTAATGGTTATAAAGAAATAATTGCAACCGCTCCTTCAACTTTGTCATAACGAGGTTTTACTGTATATGGGATGAATGGGCAGAAAAATTAGTTTTTGTGCAGAGAGGAAGTTTATCTTCATGTTGATGGTTGACACAAGTGATAAGCAGGCATTGAATTAAAGTGACCACGTAAACATTTATGATAGTAAACCTTGTGGAGTAGACAAGGATGAACAACTGATACGTAGTATGAGACAATGAACGACATTATTTTGAGTACTACAGCCTTTTTTAACTTGTTTGCTGTAAATGACTATTTTGGTGGGCTCAACATTCTGCAAATTTTGTGAGTGTGGGATTTGGAAATCTTTCGTGAGTACTGAATTACACAATTTAGTGGGATATGCTACGTATTCGTTACTGCAGGGTGGTACAGTCATGTGATTTCTCAACGTTTTTCAGGCTAAACCCATGAACATGAGCTCCTTGCAAAAATTCAGTTTACGGTAGTTACGGTAGTTTGTAGTGTAGAGGTGCCTCAGTTAAACTGCCGTCTTAACAGCCTTCCAACTTGTGCTTACCACAGCTTCATCTTTCTCTTCCCCTTTGAGGGGGTGAGGAGGGAAAGATTTGCACTACCCAGCCAGGTATGTGCTTTATTACATGAAGTATTTACACATGCCTGCCTGCTATAGTCCTTGGCATACTGCAGTTACAACCTTGCTTGCATTAGCAGCTACACTAGCATTGTGTGTTTGTCCGTTTTTGTATTTTCCCAGTCTCGGGTTTTGGATTCGGTTCACCAGCTAGCCTGTGTTTTGTTTTCTCTCGCAACACTGAATTTCTAGTGTCAAGGTGTTGCCTCAGTCTAACCGGCTGTGTAACTGTCTTCCACCTGGTACTCGACTCGGCTTCATCTTCTCCCTCCACCTCCCTCTCCCCCTTCTCCCTCCCAGCTGATGTTGAACAAGAATCCGACAGAGACGTTGCCGAAAAAAAGACCCCGAGGCCGCTGAAGGGAATCTGCATCTTCAGCTGCAACATCTGTGGCTTCTTTATCTCCAACAAGAACCGCGCGATGCGCCACCGCTTGCTTCATTTCGAGCCACGGTGTGGCACGTGCGGCGAGGAGTTTGCCCTGCACGCCTCGCTGGTCGAGCACGTGCAGTCCCACTTCAGCACCAAGCCGTACCAGTGTGTCCTGTGCCTCTTGCGGTTTAAAAACGAGGGGCACCTGAAGGGCCACGTACGGACGCACACGGGAGAGCGGCCGTTCGCCTGTGGAGTGTGCGATGCTAAGTTCCTCCGGAAGCACACCCTTGCGTTGCATGCCAAGAGGCACACGGGGGAGAGGTCGTTTGCTTGCCACCTGTGCCCGGAGGCATTCATACGCAAGTGTTCGCTGCAGGTTCACCTCAAGAGCCACGAGCGCAAGTAGTAGTTTCAGTGTCCATCACTGGTGGCATAGTGGAGTTGTATCTCTCTCTTCTCTTTTTTTTTGTCTGTCTGTACGGTTTATCTTGGGGTTGCATTGGAATTGGTTCAGAGTATGCCTTCAACAGAACAATGTAATTATCTTCATCTATTCTAAGCTGGTTATCTTGATCTATTTCAAGCTTCTCGTTCCTAGGTTTTTCTTGCAGCTTCAGTGCGCAAAGAAGGCAAAATAAAAGCAGCACCAACTATAACTGACTAGTTCTTGAAAGGCACTTCATTCATAACCTGCTGCGACTATCTTCAAATACCGAGCATCCGCCCATTCCACAATAAGTGCCCACCCCTATGTTTTGCAACGTTCGGAAAATACTCAAAGGACGAATCTTTACATATTGTTAAACTTAGTAGCACTCATCCCCCAGTTTTACGTGATTATCTTCAAATTTTGAGTGGGCAGTTGCTGAGGATCTTGAGGTACATTAAAAGCCGACAGCATTAGAGAAAATCTGACTTGGGTGTTTGCATTTTGTCTGCACATTGTGTTTTGCTATGAGGTGAGGCATAATAGGTCTGTGGAACAAGCAGCACTTCTATGACTGATTACTGCGTCGAGGTCCTCTTCGTTTTCGTGCTGTCACTGTCTTTGTGCTCTAGAAGTTGACAAGCGTTGGGCCTTTGTGGCAGTGTCTTTAGTGTTCTGTCTCCACAGGCTGTTGTTAAGCTAAATCAAAAGTCGTCTATTGCCTACTGCCGCTTGCTTCCTTCCTCACTTGCATTCACGTGAAACTTGCTCTTCCAGAGTCGCTTCCAATGTACGTACCAAGAGACTTGGACTCTGCTGCAGGTCACAAGCAGTGGAGTTAGAGAGTTTATGGCTCTACTGCCACATGCCCAGAACATGGATGTAGATTAATTTGAGGAGTTCTGCAACTGCCAATCCTGAAAAGAAAGAGATATGGGAACATGGCCACCTTTGAACTGCCATTTCTCTGTATATATAGGAAACTGCTGTTTTCTTGTAAGCGACCGTTTATCGTCAGTGCATAGATTTGATCTGGCAAATACTAAAAAACACTTCAGTACAAATACTGAAAAAACCTTCAAACAGTGAGAAACCTGCACAACGGAAGTGTTCCAGGCCTACCTCATAGATGGCACTAGTGTGTTCTTCAGAGAGCCTAGATTTAAGAGTAAGTGCAATTTAAATCAGGGTGTTTACAGTTTCATGGTGGACGCCTCCTGCGCTGATTAAGTGCATGAGCGCATGCGTGCGTCATCAAGTTGTGAGAAGGGTGGCGGAGGGAACAGCAGGACGATCAACGGTTTTGCATTCTCCTCGCAGATTGCATTGCAAAGGTTGTGCATAAAGTGTGTGACCTCGATCAGGCAGTCGGAAATGCTGTCAAGTCTAGGTACACTAATAGTGTTCCATTGTCAATGTATACTGCACACATAGTATTCAACATTTTCTTTTTTTTTTTTCTGATCTGAGGACACAAGTTTTGTTTAAGCACTCATTTGGAGGGCAATGAAACGGTAACATTGCAGTTGGATACAGCTTTGCGTGGCTGGACATTGTTTCCTCATTGTTAGTACTAGTGTTTGGATGGAACAGCGTGGATATACAGTCACACCCACAGACACACAAGAAGGAAAGACTCGCAGCGCTGACTAACAACTTGGTGATATATTTCTTCTTCCTCAAATCATCATTGTCTCCTCCTCCGCTGTTAAAGAGAACATTTAAAATTTTTAAACACCAGAAGTTGATAAACATTAATAAATAAATAATAAATTTATTTATAATAAATAGCAATAATGAGAAGATGATGACGATTTGAGGAAGAAGAAATCTATCACTGAGTTGTTAGTCAGCGCTGCAAGTCTGTTTCCTTTTTGTGTGCCTGTGAGTGTGACTGTATATCTGCGGTGTTCCGTCCAAGCATGACTTACCAACTAGCGCAAGCATCCACATTATGAAGCTAGTACTAGTGTCCCAATTTCAGTAGTGAGCAGAGCGAACCACCAGTGTTTTTCAAAACGTCTTGGCACAAAAATAGTTGGAGGCATCGCCTTTCTTCATTTTCGTCTTGTTTCTTGTGGTTGCGAGCAGCCTGTTTTGACGAAACGGAGTGACGGTGACTGACCAAATGCGATAACTGTCGCAACATCAGTTTTTTTTTGTATGTTTTGGGTGCTTTTGAAAGCTATTTTAGAATATGAGTTGCTTGTTCGTTTTGCTTGGTTAATTTCTGTAGTCGCTTACAGAATGGGAATGGCCGAGCCTGGCCTCCAGCATGCACCCGTTGCCTTCCGTCGTGCTTTGGCCGTACATGCACACACGCTTGAAGCTTGTGAGACGCTGAAGTGCTACTGAAAGTAGGAAGCACGTGTTGATGACGGAACAAATGAAAGTCCTTCCTGCTGTTCTAATCCTGTCGATAACTAAATGGTTTCAAATATGGGTTGGGTGTTAAAACTTTCCTTTTTTTGGTTTCCAATGTAATTTACAGGCTAGCTGGCAAGGTTAACTTTGTCGCTTGTAATTCCCCTAGTTCACAAAGATGCAAGGTGCAAAACTCCTAATTTCCTCCAAGTTAATGTTCCAGCCTTTCATTTTCTGCACGTTGGGTCGTCGAAAATGTTGTGTAACTGTCGCAAATTAAATTGACCTCCGGTTTGCTGGTTGTGCGAATGCTTGGTCATCTCTCGATGTGCGTGTAGTCAGAGTTGTGTACGTTGCGTATGTTACATGCTGCTGCGTGTTACCCTCCTTTTGTCATCGAGTTATTGAAAAGTTCATTGTCAAGAGGATGCAATGTAACTGGTGCCATGCCCGAAGCAGCATCCAAGCACACCACTTCGTGCGGTGCGATAGTCTCGTCTTGTGCTAATACCTTTGTCTTTCTTTCCCACGACCAGATGAAAGGGCGCAACACGTCGACAGTGACCTCGACGAAGGCGCTGGCTTAATGCATCCGAAGGGATTTCCCAGCTTAAGCTCTGACGTCTGTGGATGCACCACCAGGAATGAAAACGTCACGACCTCCACCACCGAGCTTCAGAGGTCGCAGTGCCACATTTTTGAAAGAAGGGCAATACATAGTCACTAATATGACTAGTACACCCCTAAAAGGGTGCACCAGTACAAATGCCTACGGAGTTCACTACCTTGTTTCTTGTTTTGTCACACATTAGCCTCGTATTCTGTGATGACCGATCACCCTTATTCTCCCACCGCAGCCCCGTGGGTTTGGTGGAGCTTTAAGTGTTTTCCTTTTATTTTCTGATGCACTTCCCGAGTTGGACACGTTTTCGTGATGATGTAGATTTTCACGTGACCAAAAAGGCAATGTGTTTACATAGTTTCATTTCAACGTCTTGTGTGCCACACCATTGTCTCATACCAACCTAGGCCCGAGAAAAAGGTTCCAGTGCTCAGCACAGGAAAGATGCACATTGCCCGTCCGAGTTTGCACTCAATTACATGGATCCCGTCGCGCACTCCTGCCTGCTATTCACCAAAGTGTACTGCAGTTAAAACTCTGTTTGCATTATCAGCTACACTATGTCTTTGTCCATTTTCCCAGTCTCGCATTAATATGGAATTAGTTCACTAGCCTGCCTGTGGTTTTTCCCTCGCTACACCAAGTTCCTAGTGTCAAGATGCCTCAATTCAAGAGACTGTGTAACTGCCTTCCAATTGATACTTATCAGAGCTTCATTTTCCCCTCCTCCCCCCTCCCCCCCCCCCCCCAGCCCAGGACGAGCAAGAACCTGAGGAAGACATCACCGGAGACAAGGCCTCGAAGCAGCTGAAGGGGTTTTATACCTTCAGCTGCGACATGTGCAACTTCTCCTATTACAACGAGAACCGCGTGATGCGCCACCGTGTGAACCACGTCACACCGCCGCGGCTGCAGTGCCACGTGTGCGGCATGGAGTTCTCGCTGCTCGCCGCGCTGGTCGAGCACGTGCGATGCCACTTCAGCGCCAAGCCGTACCAGTGCGACGTGTGCTCCGCGCGGTTCCGGAACCACGGACACGTCAAGGACCACCTGCGCATCCACACCGGGGAGCGGCCGTTCGTCTGCGAGGTCTGCGGTAGGAGGTTCGGGAAGAAGACCAACCTGGCGAACCACGCGAGGATGCACACGGGGCAGAAGCCGTTTGCGTGCCACCTGTGCCCGTTTGCGTTCCTGCGCAAGCGCTCGCTGCAGGACCACCTCAAGACCCACTAGCGCAATTAGCGGCCGGAGTGTCTATAACATGTGGTTGCTTTTGTGAAAGGCAGCTGCACTGGCGTTACAGCGGCGTCTGGAATGCCTTTCCAACGAGTGCTTTCGCCGCATCCTAAAAAGTGATCCCTTGATTTTTGCTCGACGACGTCGTAAAAGTGCCATGTTGCCAGCCGCGATTCTGGGAGCTTCAACTTTTTTAATCAACGGCCAGGATCACAATGTCTGACAACATGAGTCGCCGGTTTCTATGACATCATTTGTTGTCTCTTTGGGACCACTTTTTATGTACGGACAAGATAAAAACCAAACATGACATGGCAGTAGGGTTTTTTTTTTTTTTTTTTTTTTTTTTTTTTGTACCATTTATTTTTTTGGGGATTATCTTGGAATTGGTGCATGTGCAGAGTATTGCGACATGTGCGCACTTGGCACGATGGCTTGGAACTGAAAATCTGAAAGTAGAACTGACTAGGCTGTAAGCTATTCTAAACTGTTGTCTCTCAAGGAAAGGAGAACTTGAATGGTTTAAATACAGCATTTCTTTCTGATGAGACTTTTTTTTTAATGATGTTTTGTCGATTTTGTTACAAAAATTTCTCGTTGATTTATGGTTCTAAGATGTGGTGTCATTGTCTTTGTTTTTTCCGAGCTCATTCTCGTCGTGTGTCCGAGCTTCTGTTCCTCTTTTCCAACGTTTTCTTTTTGCGCCTTTTTCTTTTTGAGATCGAGACTGAAGGCAAAGTGAAAAGAAAATCGACGCTTTTCATGTTTAGTTCTTTAAAGGCTCTGTCAGTTCTGTGCTCATAACTAAAGGTTCATTCCCACCGTGGAGTTCCTCAGCACGTGACATTTCTGCGAAACCGAGATTTCGCACATTCAGTTAGTTCACACGTCGAGTTTGACGCACAAAAACTGCGACATGTACACATGCGTAAGAATTTTGCCAAACTCTGTCGTCTGCGCCGGTAATATTATAGGAATTTCGCAGCAAATGATATGAGGTACGCACAGTGTGAAGAGACTGCTTAATTAATACCACTCGACAAACTTCGTCGGATTTGGCTCACTCATTGTACTAGGCCTGTTAGCCCGAGGAAAGACTGCAGACGTCAAAAAAATACGGATGATCTCAAAGTGTTTTGTAAGTTTGGCCCCACTAAAAGGCGAGTTATCCCCAGTCATCACGTCTATAAGTACTTGAACTCATCGCGATTTTCGACTAATCTTCACTGCGCCACCCGTACACACCACTTCTCCGCTTGTTTCTCACCGCCATGTTTGTGTTCTTTTTTTTTTTTCAACTTTGGCTCGGATACAGGATCAGCCAAAAGTCAGGCTCCTCCAAAATCTCGCTTCGCCCGAAAGATTGGACGTTGCGGCGAGGTCGAACAGCCATTGGCAGCTTCCGCGTTTCTCCTTCGGGTGTTTGACGGGCCTCGGTACAGTTTCAGCATAATCTCGCTTCCAGAGCGAGGAGTGCGATCATCCTTTTTTGGATGCGCAAATCTTCGCCTGTCTCGTTCATACAGTGCATCTGTTCCCAAGATGTGAATAGACCTTTACTGTGGTTTGGCACGAAATTAAATACTTCAGAGCAGTCGTTCCCAAACTTTTCGATCTCAAGGAACCCCTAATAACTCGACTGATAGCCAAGGAAACCTTCGCAGTCTCTGTATTGATGCAGGAAAGTTACGTTTAGGCCTACGGACCTTATAAATGCCAATGCACGTGGAGGCAATATTTGGCACTTCAAAACGCATCAATGCGTTGCTCAGATATTAAAAAATTGCGCTTAAACTGGAAGACTACTTTGTTGGGGGGCATACATGGCCGACAGAATTTGGAAGATTCTGGATCCCCTGGGGGTTATCTGGGGAGCCCCTGGGTTCCAGGAATCCAGTTTGAGAACTCCTGCTTTACAGAACATTGTGTGTATTGCAGCTCTGTGAATTAAAGCGTAATGTGTGTGTGGAACGCTCGGCACTCGTGGGACTTTGCGAGCTGTGTCGAGTTGCTTTCTTTTTGCTCAGGACGGCTTCGTGCTTTCTGTGAAAGTCGACCAGCGTCGTGCCATTGTGGCAGTGTCTTCAGTAGCCAGTCATTAGGAGCTGTCATAATGCTAAATTACATAACCATCGCCTGCTGCCGACTGCTTTTCTCGCTCGCATTTTCGTGAACTGTGCTCCTCGAGGGTGGCTTTCAACGTACGCACCGAAAAGCTTGACTCCACCACCTGTTGCAAGCCACAGTTGGAATTTATGGCTCTTACTGCCGCGTGCCCGGAAGATAAGTGCACTAATTTGTGAAATTATGAAGCTGTCTATCTTAAAAAGGAAGCGATGGAGAAAAAAGCTCCCTTTGAGCTGCTGTTTCTCCATTCTGCGTAGATAAGGAACGGAGACAGTTTGCCGGTTGCGCACATTGTGTTCGTCATTTTCTTCTTGGCTCCGATCTGGGCACACAATTTCTGTTTACACACTCGCACGGAGGGCAATAAAATGGTAATATTCCGATTAAGCATAGTTCTGTTTGGCTGTACTTTTGTTTTTTTTGTGAGCAGTGCCTCAGTTTCTGCAGTGAAAACAGCACCTGTAAAATTAGAAGAGTGCTGCTTTTCTTAGTTTTCATGTTCCTTCTTGTGATTGTGGGGGGGGGTTTGTGTTGATAAAATGAAGTAAGCTTGACTCAACATCATAATCATCACTACATTGGCTTTCTTCTTTAACACTTGAAAACCCGGTGCCAATGCACATTCGGTGAAAATTTGAGCTTTCTGTGTGCTGTCACAGATTTTTCCAGTTTGCTTTACAGCTTAAACACCGTAGCCACCTTACATATACCAAAAGGCCTGTCTCCACCACTTGTTGCAAGCAGTGGGGTCGGGATTTATGGCTCTTTCTGCCGTCAGGTACTTGTGGCTGTTACTGATACATGAAAAGAACTTGAAGAGACGAGTTTACAAGATTCCAAGACTGTTGGAAGGAAGCGACAGGAAAATTGCTTGCTTTGACCTTCCAAAGTTTCTTCATATTGCATGAACGAAGTATGTAGAAAGTTTGCATATTGCACGTATTGTATTCGTCATTTGTTTTCATCTGAGCGCTCTCTGATAAGCACTCATCGCGAGGGCAATAAAGGGTAATGTTAGAGTTGGGGTCGCTTCTGTGTACCTGTGCTTTCCTTATGAGCAGTGGCCTCGTTTCTGCAGCGAACCAGTAAGATGAATGTCTTATAAAATGTCTGTGTACAAACATTATTGGGGCCTTGATTTCATGTTGCTGCTTGTGGTTGTGAAGCAATCTGTGTTGATAGAATGGAGTAAGGGTGACTGCAACTCAACATCCATTATCACTGCGTTCACTGTTGCTTGAAAACCCAATGCCATACTCAATGCTCTTTTCAACTTCCTTTCTCCCGACCAGCTGACAAAGAATGAGGTTGACATTGGCCTCAGCAAAGACGCTACCCATTTCAGCCGAAGTGCTTTTGCGTCTTCAGCTGAGACGTCTGCAAGAACGAAAGCATGATGACCTGCCGCCGCAGAAACCACTCTGCGCCACAGTAGCTTCAGTACACCATGTACAAAAGAAGGGCCATTCACAATCACTATTGAGGAATTCCCCTCAAGGATACAGAACAGTTTGGGGGTACTTATTGTTGGTATCTTGGGCGTGCAAGCACCTGCTCGTATCTCCTGCACTAAAGGCGCGAGCGTGAAGTGCTTTTGGAACGCTCCATATTGACCGAGAGAATTCTATGATATCTTGTACAGCATGCCCCGGAAGGTAACACCAGTAAAAATGGCTCTGGGGCACACTAGCTTTTTTTTGTTTCTTTGCTGTATTTTGTTTTATTGCCTTGCCCAGCCTTTGAGTTTGTTTTATTGTTTTTTTGTTTGTTTTTACGTTGGCTTTAAAGGACGGGAGACAGACAGCCTTGTTGTATGCTGTGACCAAATCCATTTGCTTGCGACTGCTCCATGGTCTTGGGAGAGTGCAAACGTCTTTCCTTGCAGTTAACTTAGCATGTGTTTTAGGGCTGGTTTTGAAGCCCAGAGCTTTACAAAATGTTACAAAAACATGATAGCATGGCCAGGTGTCTTTTTAAAAACACTTTGTTCCTCGCCAGGAATTAAACCCTGCACCTCTCGCTCTCTAATCTGGTGTCCTACCCGTGACAGCAGAGTGGATTTGATAAGCTTTGTTACATCTACTATGTGATCATGTTGTTGTAAACAGTTTATCATCCCAATGTTGGTAAGGGTCACGTGATTATGTAATCACTATTGGTTACTTGATAATGTAAGCTATAGCTACTTGATGCCATGGTGTCGTGTGAAGTTTCACATGGTCACATGACCACGTTACCTATATTTGCAACAACTATGTGACTCATAATGACACGAATGATGTAACTAGATCCATAGTGAATGGTGAAGGAGGAGATTGCACCAACTGACATTAGGTCACAAACTGCCATAGCTGTCCTAAGAGCAGCTGTGGCAAAAATTTTAACTTGTCTTGATACTGAGCACAAAGTTGATTAACACAAATAGTTTTTTGCGTCTGTGTCTATAACGGACTACTCTGAAAGCTGCATGGGTAAAACATATTCATGCAAACTAAAGCAGGTCATCACAAACATGCATTTTACGTCCATTGGCTTTATCAGAACTATTTTTCCAATACTCCTGCATTGAAGAGGTTTTTGTGATAACACTTGTCATTCTGCACATGACAAAGGAGTCGTGCAGTCGCACATTTTGATCTTGATGTCTTGGAAGGTGTGCCACAATTTTGTTGAAGCCTGGCCTGGGCCAGAGAGAAAGATTTTGGTGCACTTGCTGGCTTAGTATCGGCTCGGGAAAGATACGTGCACTCCTTTTTGCTACAGGAAGTATTGTACGCTGCTGCCTGCCCACCGCCATAGCGTACTGCAGTTACAAACCTGGTTGCGCTATCAACCACACGAAAGGCCGATTCGCACATTCGCGCTTGAGTGAGAGAGCACGCGTGCCTTCTATGGGGAGGCCCGTACATTCGAAATTTGCATACATTTCGGGCATTGTTTTTCACCGTGGATGCTAAATAAATTTTTGTGATGCTATATGCAACCGTTGCCTATGGATAGTGCGTCGATTTGATGTCACACATACTGCAAAACCTTCAGTATAGTCGTATGCAGCCCACAAGTGTCCTGGGGATACCAGTAGATGGTGCCACCGTGTTCTCTAGTGGGGAATACAAGCAGTTGCAACGCAGTTGAGCACTCAAATGGAAATCTGAACCAGCCTGGAGTTTATACATTAATTATACAAATTTGATCAGTTGATCCAAGTATTAATTGATCGATTGACGCTGTCACGGTGCCTCAATCCGACTGCTGCTGTACCCACCTCCTACCAGTGCTCATCCCTGCTTCGTCTTTTCCTCCCTCCCTATCCCCTCCCAGCCGACGAGGAACGAGAAACGGACGAAGACGTCGCCGAGGACAAGACCTTGAGGTTGCAGCTGAAGGGCTTCTACGCCTTCAACTGCGACGTGTGTGGCTTCTCCGTCCACAACGAGAACAGCATGACGCGCCACCACATGCACCACGCCAAGCCACCGCTGCCGGAGTGTTGCACGTGCGGCCAGGCTTTCCCCTCTTTCGCCCTGCTCGCCGAGCACGTGCGGTGCCACTACAGCACCACACCGTACCGGTGCGACGTGTGCTCGGCGCGGTTCAAGAGCACGGGACACCTCAAGGACCACCTGCGGAACCACTCGGGGGAGCGGCCGTTCGGGTGCCAGTTCTGTGGCAAGTCGTTCGGCCAGAAGACCGGCCTGGCCAAGCACGTGGCGATGATGCACGGGGGCCGGCGGCCGTATGCCTGCCACCTCTGCCCGCAGGTGTTCAAGCGCAGGGGCGCGCTAATGGATCACATCGGCGCCCACGAGCTGCAGAAAGCGGCCCGGGTGCACGCTTTGAGCAGAGCGGACGAACCGGGGGCTGCGTTTCGAGGAGCCCCAGCCGCGAAGTCCGGAGTCGGAGCCTCGTCGGAACCAGGCGAGTGCCTGTTGCATCTTCTCGGTTCGAAGCGGACGGAAGATTTTTGTAGGGTTCCCTTGTCCCCGACGAGGGAACACTTTGGACGGTAGTCTCTCAAAAATGTAAACTGAAGATGGTATACTCTAAGACGCCCTATATTTGCAGCCCAAATTTTTTCGGGAGTCAAGAGAGAGGGTTCGTCTTTGTGACCATTAAACCTTCAGAATTTGAAAGTAATTGTGATGCATAATTTGAGAATTGCACGCTGCCGCATCTCAGTGGTATACAATAGTTATGCCCTGCTTGAATTATCGATTTGTCAAAGTATCAAATGTCACGGTGCCTCAATGGAACTGCTGCCACACCAGAAGTAGCATCGAAGCACCCTTTATCTCTAGACAATACAAGTATTTCTGTACCCCTGAAGTTTACGTAATGAAAAATTCTCAGGAATAAGAGCTTGCAAACATAGTGTTTTGCAGTATCCTGACAAGTCTGCCAAAGCTGTCAACTTTATGACACATCGAGCTTTTGACGTATCTGAACGCATCGTTGCCTTCTGCCATTACATGCCTAAAAGCACCACATCAGCAAGGTCGGTGCTATTACAAGCACTGGGTAATAGTGCTGAGGTGGCACTGTGGTGTACGTGTCAAGGGGCATTTATTTGCTTATATGAACAAGAGATGTATGTTAAAAGGACACTAACACCTCTCCCCCCCCCAAATATTTTAAAAAATTTTTTGCCAGGCAATCTAATATGGTGCCAGAAGACTACCCAATCAATATTTTGCTAGGGCGTCGCATGTATTACTAAAATGAAAAATGCAACTGCTCAAAACCGAAGCTGGACTGGGGGAAAAAGGATGAATTTAGGGGAGGAGACCATTGCCAAAGGTCACATGGCTACACACTACCGCATTTTTTTGGACGAAAAACACAAACAATGCATAAAATGACAACAAAATGTGCAAAAAAAATTTTGTTTGTACAGTTGAATTTTGCTACAACGAAATTGAAGGTGCACAAGAAAAAAATTGTTGTAGCAAAAGTTTTGTTATGAAATTCACAAAAAAATGTCATACCTGCATGGTAAAGTACAAAAATCTGTACAAACCATGTGTATAAGTCGGCACACAAAAAGGCCTTGTTGACCTTTTTGTGCGCAGACTGTGTCAGTTTCTTTCGACTTTAGGATCGTCGACAAAGAACTCGTAGATATTCCAAACTTTTCCACGATGAGAGCTTTTGTCCAGTTGTGACTTCAGCCAGGATGCGAGTTTTATCTTCTAAAGATAAAAACCTCCGCGTTTTGCTTGGCGGTGCCATGTCCAAAAAGCCCGCATACTGTATTGACAAAAGGACAACTGACAACTGACAAAACAAAAAAGACTGAGCTTCGGCTTTAAATACTCTGCAGCGGTGGCAGGGATGGGCAAAATACATGCAAATGTGTATCTAAATACAAATACAAAATACTTCGTCAAAAATTTATTTAATTACAAATCTAATTACATTTCCAAAAAAGCATCTAAATACAAGATACAAATACAACCAAATGTATTTGGCCTCCTCCAAATACTTTTCCAAATACATTCCTCAAAATTTGCGTCAGCGACTTCAGGGCACCTGCAAAGAGTTTCTGGGTACTCATTTTAATTTTGTATTACACACTTGGGAGTTAGTGTGCGAGGCTGTAGTAACGTAATAGAAATATAATCACAAGAAAATGTAATCGGCTTGGACGTAACAGGTGAAAAAAGTACAGAGCTTTAAGCAGCTTTTTTGTCGATTACATTTTGGTATAGGCCAACAAAGAACCGAGACGACCAAGATTCGCAGCACTAGCTATAGAATTTTTTATTATTGCAACTCGCACCAGTTACGAAAATCTGAACGACCCGCGCATTTAGAATGTTCCAGGCAAAAATATGGATGGAAATCAGGCTGGAAAGCATCACAAGTTGTCACAGGCACTTATTTAGCCAGTCTGCCTGTGAACGTCGATTTCGTCACTATTCTTGCCCTGGACTAGCACGGTCGTAATCACAAAGTGACTAAACGCTTGTGCTTGATTGAGAGACACTGCATTTGGTGCAGAATGTAGTTTTCTTCCTGCTCTGGACAGTGACAATAAATTTGAGGAATGCATTTTAGCCAAAAAAAATTGTATTTAATTACAATTGTATTTGAAATACCCATGTTTTAGTATTTAAATACACACGTCAAATACATTACCTAATTTGTAATTAAATACAAATGCAAAATACACAAAGTATTTGAAATACGTATTTCAAATACTTGTATTTGAAATACTGCCCATCCCTGAGCTGTGGATTATCAAGCCAAGAGCTGGGATGTAACCAATATTGGTGCAACAACAAAGGAAGGCCGGAAAGGCCGGCCTCATCGGCGTCACCATCGAGTAATGGCAGCCTGCACGCGTAGCCAACGTTGCACTCGGTTCCCGGGGGTTCCGGTTATTAGTGGTAGTTTCTGGTGATTCAACACGCGATTTAAACTTTATTATAAACATATTTTATGTGTCAAACTGCACCAAAGTGCTCGGAGGTTTGTTTTTTGGGCTGAAAATTAAACTTTCGAACTTTGAATTGCTCAGTAGAATTTTGTTCAAGTGGAACGGCACAAGAAACTGGGTATGCTGTAGTGAGAATTTTTATGCATTAACTCCTATGGACTGTTGACGGGGAACCAAAAAATATTTATTGATTCGGAAAATTTGTTGAAGCGGCGTTCGTTCAAGCAAGGTTTGACTGTATGTTTGTACAGCCTAGAACTTGGTCTGCCTCAACGGGCGACGAGTCTCCCAGCTGTAGATGAGCAATTTAGCCAGTGCAGTACAGCCGCTAGCCTGGTGTCTTTAACGTGCATCAGGCAGTAGTGATACACGACATTCCTACGCATTCCTACGGGGTGCCTGCACTTCTGCGGTGTTCTTTTCTCGGGGTGCAATGTACAAACACAAAAGTGATACAAATGTTTTTTGTGTTTTCTATTCCCCCCTTCTCCTGGCCCAATAACTAATAAATTTCCTCCCACACCCCCCACTTCTTTTCTTACCCAAACTCCCGCATTGAGCCTGAGGGATGGCTTTCTCTAGACTAGCGTGCCTCGTGGCTGAACTCTATTCCAAATATAACTTGAGGTGCGTTTTGGAGCATGTAATTTCGGAAAGACAGATTGCGTTATATTTGTGCAAGTGTGCTATCTGGCATGTGTGTCTGAACCGCACATGGGCGTGACTCAAACTGGCCAGTTCTCGATCAGCTGTTTTCGGGCGGAAAAAAAAAGAGTTTCGAGCCGCAAATTGTGTTCTGGGTGGCTGGGCTCTCATATGTCATGTACAAATAAAAACCTTGGTGAGCATAAATGCCCTGTCAGTGTCCCTTTAAGGCTAGTTTCCAAGCTTAGAGCGTCGCACAATGTTGTAAGGAAGAAATAGCACTCCCAGTTGTCTTTTTAGAAAGACTGGAGTCTCTCGGTGGGAATCGAACCACCGACCCCTCGCTCAGTAATCCTGTATTCTATCTGCTGCACTGATAGGGCAGCTTTGATTGGCATGGTTATAGTTGTGATATCCAGTATAGACTTTCATTGATTAAAACTTTGGAAAATCACACATTTTGTTTAAATTATCTGAAGTTTGACTTCTCAAAACTTTCATCTAATTATGATGCAAGATAAATTTATGAATTAATATATGGATGGCTACACATACAAAGCAGATGTTTGATGACTTCCTCTACACAGGCCTGCTAATAACTAGGTATGCCACACATGAAACATTGGGGAAATGTATGACACAAGCTTAATCGTCCCTTAGAAATGCTGTTTATTGTAGACTGTTAAGACAGCGCATGACACCTCGAAACAAAATTAAGTTTGTTCATCCAGCAGAAAACTTGTTCACTGTGGCCTTTTAACCCCTTGCCTACTAGAATGTAAGCTCGTTATAACAGACCTTGATTTTGACCAAGATTTCGGTCTGTTGTAAAAGGAGGTATGTTGTATGCAGATGTGAAGTTGAGTCAATGGTATGTAGAGGAAAACCAACTGAACTTCACAAATCTGTATGCTTTATCCAAAGCTTGTTGTAACCAGGTCTGTTGTAATGAGCTTAGACTGTAATAGTGAGTGTTACTTGTGCCACCACTTACAGACCATAAAGCTTGTCCATGTGCATGACTGTTCTGGTTTCGGCCCTTGTTTAGTGAGCTCTCTGGCAGATGGCAAAACCACCCATTGCTCCAGTTACCTTGGGTTGTTTGCTTGTTTGTTTTTCAGTTTGACAGAAAGAAAAAAGCAGTTGCTTTTATGTGTTTGCACAAACCAACATAGCTTTGGCACGGAGGTCCGCTTTAGATGACAAAGAGATACAAAACCTTTGTTTTAAAAGTGATCGGGTATATGTGACGGGAGAATTTTCCCCTAAATTTAGCGGAAAGTTCTGCCAAATTTAGTGGCAAATTTTCCCGTAAATTTAGCAGGTCGATAGGGTCATGACGTTATAGCTACGTGTGACGTCACTATGACACCACACGTGACATTGTGTGACGTGTAATGCTACCGACTAAACCAAGCACACACGCTTGCACGGCTTGGGAATGAGCGCGGGTTTATGCGAGAGGCCAATGTGAACGGGGCCTGGTGACGCTATCGCATTCCACTCTTCAAGGCGAAGCTTAAACGTCCCCCAAGTTTTTTTGTCTTATTTTAAGGCAAATTGCCCGTTATAAAATAAATTTTTTCTGTACGTTCCTCGAAGAAAATAAGATGAGTAGGCAAAGGGGTTCAGCAGGAGGAGGACGGGGGGTACCGCACATGAACGATGCTGGTGCCACGCGACATTTTTCATTGCAGCTTGCGAAAACCCGTTTACGTGAACCTGCGCCATGCCCACATCACAGCATCCGTGCAAGTTGTTGTGGAGACTGCCGTGGCGGCTTCAGTTTTCATCACTCGTGTCCCCTGCTTTGGCCTTGTTGAGAGCGCTTTCT